CAATGTGGTGGATATCAAAACGTCCCATTTACTATGAAGGATCTATATAATAGAATAAATGCTGGTCGAATGGAGGAAATTGCAAATAGGGATGCAGATGATGCAATTGCATATCTATTTGTAAAGAAGGATGTTGACCCTGAAGTGTACTTTAACTTTACTGTTACCTATGATGGCCGTTTGGGGAGATTGTTTTGGTCAGATTCTCGATCTAGGGAAGACTACAAATATTATGGTGATGTCATAGTTTTTTATAGTACCTTCACCACAAATAGATATACGCATCCAGTGGTTGTGATGTGTGGCATTAATAATCATTTTTGCACGTCTGTTTTTGCATGCTCTACTGTTCCTGATGAGAAAGTCAAAACTTATGAATGGATCCTTAACAACTTTCTTGAGGCAATGGATAGCAAACAACCATTATCCATTGTGTTGGATGGGGCACCTCAGATAAGGAAAGCAATCAAAGGTGCTTCCCGAATGCAAAGTATCGCTTTTGTTCATGGCACATACAGTAAAATCTCATCTCAAATATTGCTAATGGGGAGTTTAGGGAAGGGTCAAAAATTGCATGTATAGAAATTGCTCCATTGACCAGTTTTTAGTCACCTTATGCAACCTCCAGAATCACGATTGGATTAAGTACATCTACAGGAAAAGAGAAAGATGGGTATTCGCATATCTTCGAGGAAACTTTTTTGATAGCATGAGGAGCACACAACATTCAGAGAAGATGAACGATGTTTTAAAGATATACCTACACAAAGAGCAAAGACTATTTGAGTCAGTTAGGGCATTTGACCTAGCAATGGCATGGCTTTAACGTGAGGAGACGAGGTTGGACGCGGAGACAGAGCACACCTCCCTCTTACCCACTACTAATATGCATTACTTAAAGCGGCATGCTACAAAATCTCTACAAGACACATATTTATAAAGGTTAGGAAAGAGATGAAGAGTCAAGATGTGTATTTTATGTACAACGTGATGGATGATGGAGTCCAGTGCATCCACTTCATTGCTCATGCCTATTCAAATAGACGATGGAGAGTCCTATACAATCGGGAGTCACAAGTTATGCAGTGTTCGTGTGAACAAAAGGAGACACTAGGATTACCATGTTGCCATATGTTTAGGGTCATGGTTAAACTAATTGGGTTAGTTTAGTGAGGCAGAAAGCTCTCATGTTGTCAACGTCTTTAAATATTGACTTACAATTCAATTGGCTGATCAAGAGTGAGGCCTAGGCATCTATTAATGGGTTCCTCATGTTCAAGTCATTATAAAAAATGTAATTATTAGTCAATATGATGATTTAGAAAAATCACAACTCATTAATGCAAATAATGCTCCAACAAATGATAATACCTAATGTTTTTGCTTCTGACCAACATTCTTCTTCATTAATGTTCTCTTGTCCATTGCTCCAGGACTTTTGTGCTTGGATACAAGACATTGGTGAGCAATACATAAAAGTCTAAGTTTTGCCAACCTATTAGATGATACCTCTGAGTTAGCTTTTAGAAGTCCCAAAAGGTTTTCTAATGCATTTTTTGGTAGAGAATGAGCTATCCTTTCTCTTCTTCATATCTGTAGCTAGTTCATTAGCTATTATCTCAACACTTGCCTGCTTAATCAAAAGAAGTTACATCTATTGATGCCTCCTTGTCATCTTCACATAATGGCATTGGTACCCTATTACTTTGAGCATCACCAGAAAAATGTTCAATCATCGTGGGGGGTATTCGACAATTCGAATATTTAATTTCGTCTTGTTTCTATAATCACAAGACTTTTCATTATCAAATTTCTCTATTAGCCTTCTTATTTCACTAACAATTACTCCTTGCACATACTTCCAATAATCGTGACAAGGCAATCACTGACTCACCGACCACTTTACATCTATCTTTCAACTTTTTATAGGATTCTTCTAAATCAGTCATCCTCTTTATCCATAAGTGAGTTTCTTTTATCCTCCATAGACGCCTTGGAAATCAAAACCGAATTCAACAATCATTTCAACCTATATAACAATAACGACAATCAAAAATAGGTATAAAATTTTATATTAACTACTATCTTGACACTTACATTGGCTCCATTAAAGACCCCCGGCTGTTTCAATTTATGGATCTTCCTCTTCAGTTTATCTTCTCCCCAGAAATGCAGTCTCGGTATCGCTCGAATATTTATATGAATATGGGATTGCCATATATTGTAAAATGCTCTATATAGAACACCTGCACATAGTTATGAAAAAAATCATATTAGTGTTCCATCTAATGCTATTGTGCTGTTTCATGCAAGAGTAATTTTCATTTAATCGAGTTCTTGCCATTAAAAAAAAACACATCCATCAACAGAAATAGCTTTATTCATTTTGCTTCGTCTAATCCCAGCTACTAATTCATCTAAAACATACTTGGCCCAGTTCATTTGGTTCAACAATTCTATCTCGTGTAGAAATGGTATCAAGGTCCTGCTCAATGGGCATGCCTTGCTTGGAGCCAATACTTTTTCAATTACGAGTAATGCAAAATTCACCTTAAAATCAACATTATGACTTTGTGAAAATAACAAATTCTTTTTAAGCTCAGTAAACATTATTTCTTCATCTTTACTTTGATACCTAGTTGCTCTTCAAGCAATGGGCCTATGTACCAGCCGTTCTGCAATGCAGCGATGTTGACCTTTTGATGACACCCATCACGTGTTCTACATCCTCTAGCATTACTCTGATGTTTCATCCATGAACATTTAGAGTGCACCTTTCACAATTAAAATTAACCACCAGACACGATAATAGATCATGTCCACTTCAAGAGCTTCAAGATTCAACAAAGAACCAAATCAATTTTCCGTACACATTTCTTTGTTCATCATTCAAATTTTCCAATACATTCTTGGCCATACGTGTTGAGATGTTGGTACTGTAACTTACTTGCAATCTCAAGGGGCCATTGTGTGATTCTTTGACTTTGATTTCTGTGTCCATTGTTATGGTGTGACTTCCATAACAAAAAGGTTCTGGGTTGGTTCCAACAACCAGTTTCACCACCCTTATACCAAGAAGAATTAATAGTGAACATTCTTGGCCTTGAGCTTGCTCTACTTATCCAATCATCGCTCGGTTCATCTTTCAATTTCCTAAAATTTCAAAAATATAATCTATCACAGCTTGCTATTTTTAATATATAGCCTAGACAACTGTACTAAATTAATGATAATCATAATCCTCTCATTAATTAACATTTCTACAAGTGGGTGATAGATGGACCAAGTCTCCATAACAACTAAAATTTGGATAAAATTATAAGTATATTTTATTTGGTATTTATTGTTCACCGTAGCTCCAAAAAAATTAGAGATAAATACCTTATTCTATCACCAGATATGAACTACTTCATCCATTCTATCAAATATCAACTATTTTATCCTTATCGATTTTTACGAAACTTACATTTTATCACAAATGTTTCCTCTTTTGCTGAGATTGCTTCTTTTCTTTGCTTTCCTAGGAGTTCATGCTTTCTTCATTGCACATGATCTGCATTTGATAGATGATTCCCTTTAACAAATTGTCAACATTGCAGTGCCATTGCTTTCTTTTTCCATTCTCCTTTACCACCGCCACCATGGATCTTATTGTAACCCTAGATCAATCAAAGTTTGACAACTTGTATTAGGTGTCTTGTTTTTAGTTCCTTGAATTTAGCATTACATTGATGCCCATTGTATTCTTGTATTTAACAAGACAATCCTTCATATATTGTAGATACTTTACCATACACTTTTGTATACACTGGTTATCTGTCCTCGTTGATGTGCCAAAATCAATTAAGTTGGTTCCCTGTTAAGTTGTCAACTTTCTATTGGTTTGTGCATCATAAGCAGAAGATTCTATCTGTGCATAGTAGAAGCGTCCAATTTTCATGATGGAATTGAAATACCCATTAACGCTGATAACTATTAAGAACTAGTGAAAGTTAGAAAACGTATAGATACGCATGTGCACAAACATGTGGGATGCCGCCACCATGTCCAAAATCTCATTCCAATATTTGCTTCTGTCCCAAGACGAGGCAGAATCACCAGGTTGTGATCAGAAGGATGGTCTTGCCTATTCGAAACGCACAATCCATTTGATATCCACACATTTCTAAACCCCATCAACCATTCTGCAGAATCTGCAGGAGTTGAATTGATCGGTGAATGGGTGCAAATGAGTCAATAAGTTACACACAATCCGATGGTCTTTTTTCTTTTTTCTTTCTTTTTTTGGAACAATGCCTTCAAGCACTCAACAGATCAGCAATTCAGCATTATAACCATGAGGACAACGATTTGTTCAACGCTGTGCTCATCAAAAACTATAGATAATAATTGAATATAACATGAAGCTAGTAATAAGTTTGATAATGGATTCGTTGTATGCGTTAATTCGTCCAATTAAATAAGATGTATAGAATAGATTAGTCTATCATGTTGAGGATTGCATTCAAGATTTGTTTAATTATTTGTACTTAGCACAGCAGCCGCTGAACCTAATCAATAGAAATTGACCTTTATATTTTATAAAGCATATAATTCTATGCTTTCAAAGATTAATTTATGTTTTCATTTTATGTTTTCCATTGATCAAGAAATGAAGAATTGTTTGTACGGTATCAGTGGCGGAGCCAAAAAAAATCTTAGTGGGGGAAAAAATAACACTAAAATTTTTTATCTAATCTTTTTCTTTTTTTAAGCAAAAAATATATATTCACTAACAAGTACAAATGATACGTATATTCTATGAAAAACATAAAATGACAAACTCAAAATTATTAATATAATAATAATTTTATTTAAAAAACAAACTAAATTATTTACAATTGCTCACGACGAGTTTTCATATTTTGTAACGGTTTACGACTTTCTCATTTTGAACTTCACGAAGTATATTTTTCTCAATATAAGTAACTAAACAATCATTCATCCAAGTGTCTCTCATTCTATTTGGTAACCGATTCTTCACTATATTCATAGCTGAAAAAGCCCTTTCTACTGTAGCTGTAGCAACAGGCAAAATCAAAGTCAACTTTAAGAGCATATAAACCAATGGATATACAATATCTCTCTTAGTCTCCACCAACCTTTGAGCTAGATCAGAAATTTTTCTTAAATCGAGAAATTCCTTAGCTGATTTCAAGTCATTAATATAAGTATCCAATTCAGTGTCAAGTGCAAGAATATCCAACTTAGAAAACTCACAAGGATAATGTTCTACAAGACGAATCAACTTTTTCTTATCAAATGCTGCAAAGGAATCACTTGGGTTCAAGCATGCCATACAAAGAAGCAACTCCATATTGACTTCATTGAAACGATTGTTGAGTTCTTGGAGTTGTAAATCTATCACAACACAAAATAGCTCAACTCAATAGTGGTGAAGGTTGTAATTTGCTGAACTTTTCTTCGAGATCTCCCACTAGTAATGAATATTTCATCCATTTTGGAATGATGATCTCATGTTTTTCACAACACAAACAAACTTCATCAAGTAAAAAATCCCATCCATCTTTCCTAGTAGCTTGTAATTGTTGCTTGGAAACTTTGACCAGACCCATAGCATTCACAATATCTTGATCCTTCCTTTGTAATGCTTCAGATAATGCATTTGTTATTCCCATTATTTTCTTTATCAAGTGTAAAATAAATGCAAATTCAAAGGATTGCAAAGAATTAAGAAGTGCATATGCTTGACCTCTTTGCTCCACCAGACCATCATTTTCAATTATCAAAAGAAGATCTATTACAGAATCATACATAAGAACCAACTTTAACAACGAGCCAAATGTGAACCCCAACGTGTATCATAAGCTCTTTGAAGGCTAGTTTCTTAATTTGAGCCCCGACCGCTCACAAGTTCTCCAGTCATTAGATCATCAATGACTTTCTTAAGGTGTTGTTCTCTAAGAATTTCTTGTCTTTTAGATGAACCTTCAAGAACATGCACTAAGGTAGACAATGTATTATACATAGAAGAGATTTGGGCATGTTTTTGCAACCCCTACAAGTGACAATTGCAGCTGATGTGCAAAACAATGAATATAATATGCAGAACCATTTTCCTTCATGATCAAAGTTTTTAAATCATTATATTCACCTCGCATGTTACTAGCCCATCATAACCTTGACCACGGATTTGTGATATGCTCAAACCATGCTTTGAAAATAAAACATCAATTGCTTTCTTAAGTGAAAGAGCAGTAGTATCTCTTACATGTAGAATGCCAAGAAAGCGCTCAATCACATACCCATGTGAATCCATGTAACGAATAAAAACTGCTAATTGCTCCTTTGTTGATGCATCACGAGATTCATCACATAAAATGACAAACAGTCCATGTCCAATGTCATTTACAATAATGCTTGCAGTCTCACTTGCCAAAGCATTTGAAATATCCTTTTGAATATCTGGAGCATTGAGTTTGAGATTTTGAGGGGCATTTTCAAGAACAACCTTTTTTATATCATCATTATGACCCGCAAGGAAGTGCAAAAGTTCAAAAAATTTCCTTGATTTTCAAAGATATCAGGTTCATCATGACCACGAAAAGCCAAACCTTGGTGTAGGAGAAATCTAGCACAATCTATTGAGGCTAATAAACGAGTCCGATACTTAGCCTTCATTTCTCTGATTGCTTAAAAAATGCCACTTGGATGTGCTGATTTTGATTTAATAAACTTTGACGTTTACTCCAACTCAGATTGTGTGCACTATTAGGACCACCAACATGAACCTCAAATCTATCCTTTTTTTTTTTCCAATTTGTGAATCCTTCCTTAATGAAACTATCACCACCAAATTGTTCGCCCACATCTGGTCTATATAGATAATAGCATAAGCAATAAGTGGCATTTTTTTCAATACTATATTTTAACCAATTCTTGTAATCATCAAACCAGCCCGAACAAATCATGGATCTTTTTTCCTATCTTTCTTTTTGGAAAAACATGCTCACGAGGTTGACATGGTCCCTTTTGTAAGTAATATCTCCGAATTTCATCTTGAAGGTTTGGATGATAATCCCCAATTTTTTTTCTTTGGGCTGGATCAACAGGTAATTCATCTAAGTTAATCCCCGTGCAACTTCTTTTATTGTCATTTTTTGCACTTTCATTATCCTTGGCTTTTTCCTTATTAGATGGCTCTTTTTCCATTGATTTCCTCTTGAAATATCTCTCCATAACTAAGAAATTAAAATCAATATATAAGATACTGATCCGATTAAAATATTAAATGTACAATAAAATCTATCCAAGAACTATTTCACAAGTTAAAGTTATTTATTAAATGACTTATTTGTTCATTACTATAACAAATCATTAGTCACAACATATGAACCTAATCAACTTAATTAGACAAAGGATCCATACTAGAATAATTTAAAAGTTAAAATATATGTCAAATGGCCCTCTATTCATCATTACATTAACTCCAATATAAGAAAACTAATCAAGGAAAATAAAACATAAATTATAAATCCATAAAAGCACCATTTCACAAATTAAAATATTTATCAAATAACCCATTTATTAGTTATTACATTAACTAATCAGTTTTCAAATTTCTTTAAAATAGTAATAGTCTCACGCTCTAGAAATATATTTGCAAACAAATTCAAAATAATAATAATAATAATAAGTAATTGTTTAGAACCTGATTTTGATGGTCAGATGGTCTCCTAAAGTTAGTGGAAAGAGCTGAAAATTAGTGCAGAGTTACAGACCCAGGTCCCAGAAGATCAATTGATTATGGTGCAATCTCTAAATTGGATGAACTAATGAAGTGATCAAGAGAAAGAGTAACAAGCTTGGCTGTGGGAGAAAAAGTGGCTCTCGATTGTGGCTCTGTTGGGGGAAAATGGGAAACCAAAGGAGCAATAAATGATGGAGAAAAGGGAAATTGGGAAGTGGGGACAAAAGAAATAAATGATGAAGGAGAGGCCGTCAGTTGTGGGGGGGGGGAGAATTGGGGACAGAAGAGGAAACGGAATTTGGGGAGTGGGAGTACACTCAAAATTACATTAAAATTGTATAAATATTATAGGGATTTAAGGGCCCCCAATGCCCCCACCTTAAATCTGCCCCTGACCGGTATTTCTTTTCACCTTCGATTGGGGACAGAGGAGGAAAGGGAATTTGGGGAGTGGGGCACACTCAAAATTACGTTAAAATTGTATAAATATTATAGGGATTTAAGGGCCCCTAGTGCCCCCACCTTAAATCCGCCCCTGAATGGTATTTCTTTTCCCCTTCGAAAGATCATGTCAAATCAAATTGTGCATTTTCAAGCATAAAATTCATCACATCAATAGACTATCTCTCTCTCTCCCCTTTTTTTTCTTTTTTTTTTTTGGAGATGTACAGAGAGAATCAGAGATACTACCGATTTAGCAAGTTAAAAAGTTATACCAATTATGTCTTTTCCAATAATTCATGCTACAGTGCACTACATGGAAGTAATTTCCCAACAATAATAACTCCGAAAATTGAAAGTAAAAATTATTTGTTAAAGTAAAAATTATTATAATATAAGGAGCGGATGTGGCCAAATAAAAATTAGGAAAAAGACATCTATCATTATTAATGTTAAGTTTGAAAGGTTTACTTGATGGTTGCCTTTTATATATACATACATATATATATATATATATATATATATATATATATATATGTATATTTGCCGGCTAACTTTGTGACTTTGTAACCAGTGTCTGTAACCGCATAAGTGATTACGTAGTTGTGGCTTGCATGTGCACAAAAATGTGGGTTATTAAGCCATGACCTCCACAGTCTCATTCGAATGTTTTCTTCCGTCCCGAAAATGATTCAGGGTGCTACCATGGCATAGTGAACTGGATTGGATCTACACTCATTGGCAAACTAATTCATTCCGTGATCAGGTGAAGAGGCTGGTTTTTAGTGTTGCAACTTATCATCTATGGAGGGCTAGGAACCAAGCTGCATTTCACCAAACCTCTATGACTACGGTAGCTATTGTGCGTTCAACTCTCTCTGCTGTCCGAGATGTAGTAGCAGGTTGAAGTAAAGTTCCACTTTCACAGTGCTAATTGGGTGCCAGCTTTGGAACTTGGGCTGCCACATAGTTGTTTTAGCTGATGTATATAGTTTAGCTAATGACGTTTTGTATTAAGTTTAGTGAGATAATGATATAATTGGAATGTACGTACCATTCCTGTATAATTGTGTATACTCTTTCATGCTTGATTAATTGAAAGTTAAAAGTTGCTCAAAAAAAGAGAAAATGATTCAATGATTTGATTTTCATTTTATTCGTTAGTAGATACCTGTGAAATTAATCCTAAAAAGCGAAAATGCATGTCCCACAAGTTTGCTTTCTAAAATATAACCACTGTACATCAATTGAGATCCTTTGTATTACTATCCGATATTAAATTCATTGTCAGCCCCACTTTTTAGGTGAGAATAAATAGCACATGACACTTGACATAAATATAGAAATTAGCACTAAGTTGCCACTGAAAAGCGGCCCTGAAGATTTCAGGTGACAATACAAAAGTATATGGCAAATGGTTCCGATCATATTTTGCTTAAGCAGCGTTTGCCCTCAATAGCAAAAACTTTTTACCAAATTGATTTCAGAAACACTAAGTTAGAGTGCTCAAAAAAAAAAAGGAAAAAAACTTAGAGCAAGAATATACATCTATACTATTCTGTTGGTACTCTCAAGCTTTAGATTCCACAATTCACATCAAGTACATTCTTGTAGTTTCAATTTATCGCTATAGCATTGTTTAGATTTGGAATAGTGGAAGACTGGTTTTGTTTTTAAAATTTTGGAAATGTCAAAACTGTTCAGAAAATTTGAAAAGTCAGAAAATGAAATCGTTGATATCTCGAGTATCATATCTCAAAAAAAAAAATAATTTCAACTTTTGAATTAAAATAAATCAAAATTTATAGCTATAATCCACAAGGCACCCTTGAACCTGTTTGACGAAGTCCATTTCCAACAAATTTTCCAATTCGTAGAGTATACTTCTACTGCAACTACACCAAGTGCTTTAAGAAATCATCAAACAGAAAACGACAAGTTTTGGATCAAGAATTCAAGAAAGTTACAGAAAAAACAAACAATCGAGAGGCTGACAGTGCAATGGAACATGTTGAATTCTCAAATTTCGTGGCGTTATTGGATGCTTTTGACTCCTAGAAATCACTCCTCAATGATGAAAATTACTAAATAACCAAGTCCTACATTAATGAGGCCAATTATTAACATTATCGTGGTTGCATTCCAACATGTCTAGTAATGTCTTGGATTGTTGCAGTTGACTGATCAAATTCTCAAAATTTCCGGAAGAAGAACCACTAGAACGAGAAGCAGCATCTTCTGCCAATTTTTTCCACTCCATGGCTTTTTTCTTCATCTCCTTGCCTTTCTCCCCAGCCATTAACTCTATAACATGACTTTCAAATTCATCCCTCTTAACATTATTGTCTAGTTATCTATCACCATTGGTTTATTGATCACCGAAACATATCATAGGCACCCCACTGCTAATACTTTCAATTGTGGAGTTCCATCCACTATGAGTTAAGAATCCTCCCACAGACGAGTGGCTAAGAACTTTCCCTTGATTGCACCAACTTGCAAACAAGCCTCTATGTTTGGTTTCTTCCACAAGTTCGTCAGGAAGAATAGCTAGATCGCCCTTGACGAGATCTCTTATGATCCATTAAAAAGTTTGTTTGCTGTTAGCGAGTCCGCATGCAAATTCAACTAGTTGCTCAGGTGTCACTGCAGTAATGCTTCCAAAGTTCACATAAACCACGGAGTTTGGTTCCTTTGAATCAAGCCATTCAAGACATTCTGGTTCTTCCTTCCAAATATTTGATCCCAGCACCTCTGGACTCTTATCATCAACCTGATTCTCGAGGACATATAGTGGCCCAATGGGATGGATTGGGGAAGATAAGCTGGAAGAGAACTTATTACATCATGCTTCAATTATTCAAAAGTATTTAAAACAATAGCGGAAGCCCTTTGAGCACTCTCAGTTTCTTGTAGGATGAATTTTATCATAAAGTCATCTGGATTTGTGGTCCTTAGGAAACTTGGAAGATCTGTCAAGCGAATATCTTCCTTTCCGGGAATGATTCATTCAAGAATTGTATCAAGATACCCATTTGTCAAGTAACTAGCATCTGCAAAACGTAACATAGTGATTTAGTTTCATCAAAATTGCAGAAGTTAAAAAAAGAAAAAGAAAAAGAATTTTATCCTTCTCTTGAAACTATTAAAAATTCTATTTACACAATACACTCTTCTTAGGATGTGAAAGTAAATGATATAAAATCAAGAAGCTCTGCATCCGCCTCAGGCACTAAAACAGTCCAACACACTTTAGAAAGCAGTCAAAATTTGAATTAAGTAAAGTTCCCAAACAAAAAAAAAAAACAAGAGTATGAATAATTTTGAACTTGAATTTTGAATTTATCATTACCTTTGAGTGGCGTGATACCCTTGTCAATAAGTTGTGAAAAGTGGAAGTATGCCAAGTAGGAACATGCACTGGCGGTCCAAAGATAAGCTCTTCAGCAGATGCCCTCATGTTACGCTGCCAGGCCTTACAAATGTGTTTTTTTTTCCTCCCTTTCTATAGAGGCTTCATTAGTTTTTTCTAAATAGTTTTGGGATTGAGTTGACACTTGGACATTTTTGCAACGGTATAACTTTGTTAACCTCTTGTTTTCAAGTGTACCTTTTTCTTGTTTGTTCTTGAGGTTAGGTTTGACCCCTCGAAATTTTTGTATTTCATTTGGGAAGAGAGATGAATTGAGTGGTTTGAAAGATTTCGAATTTGAATTTTTTTCATTTACATTAAAATTTAAAAAAAAAAGAAATTTTTGTAGTTCATTTATTGTTTTAATAATATAACGGGGTAGCATTCTGATTCCGTGCATGGAATTTGCCTCTAAAAAAAAGTGGGTACCTTTTTTATTGTTTTGGTTCTCAAAAATTTTTCCCTATTTTATTTTCTCTTTTAATTATCCCTTGATCGGGCACTCAATAATAAAAATTTTGGTTTCGTTAGCTTTTCTTCACACCAACTGTTTTTCTTTTTTTTTTCTTTTTAATTTTTTGTGTATTCTTATGATTATAAACATCAATGTAATTGCAAACATTAGCTTTCAAATAATGGCCTTGTTCTGCGCTAATTATCATTATGTAAAAGATGATTTTAGATGCTTCAGATTTTCAGCTTTCCTATAATCAGAATATGAAAAACAGTTGTAAACACGATAAAATAGTTTTTTTTAATTAAAATCTAAAAATCGGGTGTTAAAAATCAATTAAGAACAAGATCAGTATATTTGGACAACAAACAATGGTAAATTTTGAAACTAATTATTTTTTGCTAACATCGTGCATATGGACCCGGGTGGCAAAGTCGAGGCCCAACTAAAGCATTTTTGTATATGTTTGAAAATCAAAGCCTTGGGCAGTAAAGAAAAAAAAAGTGGGATGTTGTATTTTCAAAATTGGATCTAATGTTCGAAAGAATCTCGTAATGGGTTTTTAAGTTATGGGCCTAGAAAAAGAAAATTTGAGACATGATCCTATTGGATCTTCCCCCTTTGAAATCGAACGTGAAAATTTCCTTTGATGTGACTCAAGTAAGTATACCAAATAAAGAAAATAAAGAAAGAAGTTCATTTGGAAAAAGAATTTCATGCTCATTCTTTTGGGAAGGGAGGATTAGGAAAATCCTATTAATTGCAACTTTTTCCAGACCCCCTCGGAAAGACACGAAAAAGAATGACTCAAATGCTCACCTTGGGCTAGAGCATGGAGCTAAATCTTCCTTTTTTTTTCTTGACTTTATAAAAGGAAGGTGAAAGAAATTTATTTATGAATTGAACTAGGGATCTCAAAAATTCTAATTACTTAGCTTTTTTTTTCATAAAGAGAAACAATATTGATTTTCCACTTATTTTTATGATGATTCAATCCCGTGACCTCTCCATTACTTAGCTTATTATGAGTTACATTTACGGGACAAGCATAGAGATTCCTTCCTCTAAGCTCCTATTTCGGCCCACAAGTGGCATTCTCATATTCTGTATTACAGTATTAGGCCTTGATAACTTGTTGAATGAGATCTTGGGCACTTTCCGAAAATACTAGTAACTTACAAGTGCATGGGAAGCCAATTTGTATATATATATATATATATATATATTATATATATATGATGAGCTTCCTTCGTCTATCATGATATATATATATACATATATATGTACATAACATGGTACATCCCAACCGCCAAGAAAGAAAAGGAAGTCAAGTGCTGTTAGAAAAATTACAAGACTAGTTCCTTTGGATTGGCCATTATTTGCAACCAAAAAAAAAATTAATTACATTATAAATATGGCTTTAATTATTTTTCTATTTCATATATATATATTGCATCACAAAAATGCTATAGATTTATCCCAAATTTTAAGAAATGATCAGCAAGGGAGCATTGTAAGTGTTTCCCAAGGAAAAATTATCAAGAGACCAGAGCACATTACAAGTGATTTCCTGAAGGAAGTTTGAGATGTGTGTGTGTATATATATATATATATAGAAAATTGTTTGAGATATTGCCTTTTACTTATATACAGTTGTCAAGGTTCTCAAAGTACATTAAAAAATCTAGTTTTTTTTGTTCTGTTATTTTGAAGGAATAACTTTTTATTCACTGACAGTATAGTAACTTTTTTACACTAACAACCATGAATATATATCATATGTATATGAAATTCAAATTCATATTATATAGAATGACCTAAACCTATTAGTGTAAAAAAAATTGTACATTGACAATGTATAAAAATTTACTACTATATTTTAAATGTATTACTATAAAGAGATGTGCACTTGAACCGGTAAAAGATTTTCTTTTTTAAAAGGATTAAAAATTAAATTAATCTTTCTTATATTGATAGAGTGTATACACTATTAGTGTTGGATGAATGACAACTATGTAAAATTTGAATTTGAAATTCAATTTTACACTTATGTATGTCGTGAATCCAACGATGATAGTATATACACTGTCAGTGTATATAAGACTTATTCTTAAAAATTTGGTTGCAAACTTTAGAAATAGAAGTGAATGCTTATGTAGTGGAGAAATGTACTTTTCTTCTTTGCCAACGTCATCTTTTGTCTCAATTTGTAGAAAGAGGTCCCCAAGAAATACGAAAGGTGACCATATCTAACCATTGAAGGAGAGGGCTTCGGAATAAATGGAAAAAATTCCAGTTCATATTGAGTTAGGTAGACCCTGCCTGTTCCACCTTTTAGTGTCATCCATTTTTCTTTGATTTTATAATGGAGGATAGAGGTCCAATTACGCAATGGTGATGACTTCATAGTCAATAATTGCTGGAACTCAAATATTCTACTTTTAACGTTTTTACGCTCACTTGCTTCTGATTAATTACAGTATACCCTTATTTTTTTGGAAAAGTTGCACTTTCCCCATAACTTCTTTAATGGTCATATTACCTCTTGCTTCCAGTTTCATGATTCTTGATCAAAACATAGAAATTTTATTTTTTTATTCTCAACTCTTTTTCTTCCTTCTAATTTTTTGCTTTGTTAATTCTATTCTCTTTAATTCCTTTCTAAGCCTATTTCCTCCGCCAAACCCTAAGCATCATGAGACTCCATGCATTTTATTCGCTTTTTCCCTTTTTCTACTCTAAAAAAATAAATAAAAAAACGAAACTTAGCAAATCTTAACCTTTCGCATCTCCTTGAGTTATTCTAAGTTTTTATGCATGAGCCGATCATGGTCCTATCTACATACTTAGATGCAGGTTGGAATATCGTAAATAAATGTTAGATTGAGTATTTTGTTTACTACATATGAAATCTGGGGAATGAAAGTTACTAGTAAATTCAAGGAAAATGTAAAGAAAAAACTATACGAGCTAATCTCATTTAAATTGACTAAAATTTGAGAGCTCTGGTGAAGAATGAAGGGAAGGAATAACGAAAAAATATATAAGAAAGGTAAAGAAAATGAACAAAGGATATGTTAGAGAGAAATTAGTAACTAAGAACAAAGCATATTCTGATGGCATTTGTCCAAAAACACTAAATATGGGGGCCAAATGAATATTTCAAACATTGGAGAGAGCAGAGTGCAACTTTCTCAAAAGTTCGTGAGTCTCGTTACAATTAACCCCAAGTCTAAGACAAATTTTCTATGATTACACGGGAAACCATGCCACATAGTGCACGTCAAAACAAAGTCGGTACGTTTGCAATACGCCCGGACCATGAGGGAATTGGTCGGGTTGACCTAGTAGGGTCCAAGTCTCAACTCTCTATTCTTCACGAGAGCTTTTTCTCCTATGCTTTTGATGTGGAAATTTTGTCATAGAAAAACGC